TACATCAGACTGAAGGCTGATGCTAGGCGGATTGGACTTGCCATCAACGCATCAAAGACAAAATATATGAAAGGAAGAGGTTCTAGGGAAGACAATGTTAGCCTCCCACCCCGAGTTCAGATTGACGGTGACGAAATCGAGGTGGTCGATGAGTTCGTGTATTTGGGCTCATTGGTGACCGCCGAAAATGATACCAGCAGAGAAATTCAAAGACACATTATGGAAGACAGAACAGGAAATCGTGTCTACTTTGGACTCTGGAGGACACTCCGGTCGAATAAAATTCGCCGCCGCTCGAAGTTGTCTGTCTACAAGACGCTGATTAGACCGGTGGTCCTCTACGGCCACGAGACCTGGACTATGCTGGTTTTGCGTACCATCTACGGTGGAGTGCATATGGATGACGGAACGTGGAGGAGGCGAATGAACCACGAATTGGCGCTTTTGATTTAAAATTTATATGGGGATATTGGTAGAACCATGTATGGAGAAATAACATTCCTTCACTCTTGCGTGCATAGATCTGGTTCAGCAAACTCTATTAAGCTCAGAATTTCAGCACACGTAGCTTAATTTATAAGGAACAACTTTGCTCAAGACAGCAGCACGATTCAAGTTGGTATTTTGGAGATATTAATTAATTATGTGAATTTTGCTCCTATATGGCATCAAAACACAGGCAGCATATGCAACGGATCAACTTGATTACCACTAAAAATAAAAGTTCATGTTTTCCACAGGGCAACATCTGAACTCATGGTTAGATAACCACTCTCAGAATGTTTCAGCTGTTTTTGACGTACCACGGATTGGTGCTTTTGGTTTAATGTTTATATAGGGGTGTTTGTGCAACGTCATCTACATGTACAACTACCCTACCCACTGTAGCTACTAAAGGGCGAATACGAAATTATTGCGACACCGAAAATGTCATGCCAATTTTCTTATAATGTTTAGAATCAAACCAAAATTTTAGGGTAGTTTTATACATATATTTACTTCAAAAATCAAAAGAAAAGTTAATCGATGGAGCCTTGAGTGTAAAATTGAACGCATTTTCGCTTGATGCCCTCCATCAAAGTCTTTACAGTGTCATCCGGTACCAGTTTCTCAGTTTTTTTTTTCCATTTTCTTAACATGTCCTTCTCGTCTTTGACTGTCTTCTTGCTCTTCCGAAGTTCCCGCTTCATTATTGCCCAGTACTACTCCACCGGGCGCAGCTCCGGACAGTTTGACGGATTCATGTCCTTTGGAACAAAATGGACAGAATTGGCCTCATACCACTCCAGGACACTTTTAGAATAGTGGCATGATGCCAAATCTGGCCAAAGTAGCGGAGCTTCGTCGTGCTGCTGTAAGAACGGCAAAAGGCGCTTCTCGAGGCACTCAGATTTGTAGATCTCGCCATTTACTGTGCCCTTTGTCACGAAAGGCTCACTCCTCAGTCCGCAAGAGCAGATGGCCTGCCAAATGAGATATTTGGAGGTGAACTTCGACATTTTCTTCTTCTTAAAATTGTCGTCCACATCGAACTTGCTCTTGCCGGTGAAAAACTCCAACCCCAGAATTTGCTTAAAATCGGCTTTTATATACGTTTCGTCGTCCATCACACAGCAGCCATATTTTGTCAGCATCTTCTCGTAGAGCTTCCGTGCCCGAGTTTTAGCCGTCGATTGTTGCCGCTCATCGCGGTTTGGGAAGTTCTGTACCTTGTATGTATGTAGTCCAGCTCTCTTCTTTGCATTTTGGACGTAGCTCTGCGACATGCCGATCTTTTTAGCCAAATCACGGCTTGAGACGTTGGGATTTGCTTTAATCATCCGCTTCACCTTTTCCTCCGTCTTTTTGTTCTCCGGTCCCGGTTTTCTTCCAGCTCCTTTGCCGTGGTCCAACGTCAACCGCTCCTGGAACCGCTTCAACACTCTGGAGACGGTTGAATGGTAAATGTTCAACATTTTTCCCAACTGCCGGTGCGACAGGTCAGGAAATTCCAGGTGTTTGGAAAGAATTTGTTCTCTCAACTCGCGTTGGTTCACCTCCATTTTCGTTGAATCGAAAAACACGACTTCGAGTTTGACAGCATGTACACAATACACATCAATGAGAAAGTGTGCAAAATTTGGTTGATTTTTACCCAATGGTAAAAAAGTTATGCCCTGTTGAATGTGTCGCAATAATTTCGTGTTCACCCTTTATACAAGCAAATACAAATAAACAATAGACCAGTAGTTCGTATGCCTCCGCCATGGCAGGACGGCCAAGAACATCGGTGTGTTTCATTTCATTTATCCGTACTTATCCGTATCAAAACACAACGTAGGGATCCCACCCGTGCGCGATCAAGGGGATTTTCACATAAAAATGCTCATATACATTCAAAAGCGAATATATCAATAAAACTAACTAGATTCATGATGCAATCTTCAGCAAAGTTGTTACTCATTAATTGAACTGCAAGTTTTGAAAATCTGAATCAAATCGAGAATAAAGAAACTTTTTTATAGTCGATTGACTGTAGTAATGTCATTTTTTCATGTATTTTATCAATATTCCCCATACAAAATTCAAACTAAAAGCGCTAGCTCATCTTAGAACCAAATGAGCTGAAACTTCCAGAGAATGGTTTGCTCACCTAAAGGCACAAATCTGGGGGTTGACCTGTGGAAAATTAGTACTTTTATTTTTGTGGGCCAGTCTAATGAGCATTCACAAAACGCACGAAATCTTTAAATAAAGCAATATTTAGTGACATTTTTTTACTCTATCGGTAGCGTTTCGAAGAAAGCCCTACCTTAACTACCTTGAACATTTACTCAAAACCCTTTGCAGGGATTTTATTAGAATATTTTCAAGCATAACCATTTACCTTCATGAGAAATGCACTAACCTAAGGCTAAAAATCTCAAAAATAAAGATTATAAAAAAAAAATCCCTTCATAAAAAAATAAGTTTGAGATTATCTCTGGGAATCCTTACAAATATATTTATAACAGTCTAGAAATTCGTTGCCGATCAATAAAAATAGCATAAAATATATCCTTTGATTTTTTTCGAAGCTCACTTCCATAATTCTATTTAAAATTCACTTGAATTCTCTTTACAATTCTCGAGCAATTCACTTCGGAATTGTCTTAAAATTTTGTTCGGAATTATCTTGGAGTTTTCCCCTAAATTCTTCCAAAATTTTGCTTAAAGTTCTATAGCAATTCCTTTCGTTATGTACTTGGAATTCTCTTAAAATTATGTTCAGAATTCCTTTGAAATTTTACCCTCAAAATTAGATTTCCTTGGTATTTTTCACGGATCCTGGGATAATCACAATTGACCCGGAATTTTCTTAGAAATTCTACTCTAATACTGAACTCACGCAAGTAGCTTGCAGTGAAAGTCTAAAATCTCTAAAAGTTCTTTCTCATTACTCCCGTTGGTTTACTCTGAAATACCTTGGTGTTATCCCTGAAATTCATTCTTAAATCTATAATATTCTGAAAATTCCTTCGAAACCCAAAGTCTAGTCTGGTCCAAGAATTTTAATTTTTTCCAAGGGCACGGGCGCTTGCTAATTTTTTCACATGGCGCTTATAAATTCAATTGTTTAAGCAGAATGATGGGCAAATAAGTGGTGCTCGATTATGCTGCCTAGTTTAAGGAAAACGTTTTTTTTTTTTTTAAATACAGGGATAAGAATTCGAAATGAATTTATTTCAGCAGATTTGTAGAGCTATCTTCTATCGGTTGGTGTATTTTGATTTCAATTTCATCCATAGATGACTAAGTTACAAGGGTTCGAAACCTAACACCTTTTGTTACACACCACATTTTGAAACCGAGCTCCAGCAAAATAATTTGCTGGCTGGTTTTCTGCAAAAGAAAATTTTTCTGTACTTTCAGCAAACATGCTCATTTTGCTGGAAGCTCAGTGAATTTCATGAACTGTCAAATTGTTTATCGATTTTCTTTTCAAGCTCCATTTTGTACATGCTGCAAGGTGTTTTTCTTGCCAATCCTCTGATGAAATCTAAAAAAAAATACAGGTTAATATTTATTAAACCATTGAATAAATATAAAAATCTTTGTCTTTCGTGAAAAATAACAAGTGCCTATTCTTTACAGCATCTACGATTCAAGATCAATCAGCTTGTAGTTATATTCTGTCCTCGATCCTGTCTGCCTTTCATAAATGACCGTATTTAATTTTATCAACATAACGGTGTAATCAATTAATGGTATCAAGTGTATGCAACTCAGTAATCTATTTATTTGCTGCTAATATGAAAAGATAATAGGTACATAAAACTAGCTGAAATTCCAGCAAAAAGGTTGTTACTCAACTTTGCTGTACATTCAGTAAAGATTGCTGATTTTGACTTCGATCCAAATTGCTGGTCATCCAGCAAAAATATTTTGCTTGAAGGATTGCTTAGCTTCCAGCTCGGCAAAATCCTGCAAAATTTTGCTGGTTTCCAGAAGTAAAAAAATGAGTTTACGGTCTCAATTTTAGATTTTTGATTTACCCCCTGTACCTATGTCCAACAAATTGATGGTCAAGGCTTCTATATATATCACATAAAATGAGCATTCATTACCTCAATCATTGGCGATTCACTCACCAACTCATACATACATCCTGAGTGCATAGGCCCAAAGCGAACGATTTCCATGGGGCCACCCTCATATTTCGAATTGCTATCCACTTGATGTCCCTTGTTGAGGCTACACTACCACGAGCATTACTTACGAGGTTACTTACGGACTAATAACATAAAAGTAACTTGTATCTATTTAATGTGTCCTAATGACCCAACAACAACCCTCACATGAGTAAAATGATTGACAATTCCAGTTTGGGAATGGTTTGCCACCCCTGCTACAGTTAATATATTTCGTCGCAGTGTTTGTTAACCATGGTTTTTGCCAAACAAATATTAAATAAGCCAGATAATCTGACCAACAGCTTTAATAACACCGGTTCCCCCCATGCCCCCTCAATTCATTTGCAGACGGACCCATCTCTACTGAGCACTGCGACTGGCTGTATGGTATCTTTGGCCACGAGACATCCTGCACGCGTTACTGGACCTGCTGGAACGGAACCGCCACCGAGCAGCTCTGCATTGGCGGTCTGCTGTACAACGAGAATGCTCACAGCTGTGACTGGCCCGAGAACGTTGACGGATGTCAGAAGCACCGTAAGAGTTGGATGGCTACGTTATTTTTGAGTATAAAAAAACATTGTTTCTTTTTTCTCTTCGTTTGTCACTGTAGCCCTCTGCAACGAGGATGCTAATGGAAACGTACCACTCGGAAAGTCCTGTAACCGTTACTGGCAGTGCCAGGGTGGCTACCCACGGCTCCAGCGGTGTCCAGCTATGCTTGTGTTCGACCGACGAAGCCTGCGTTGTGTTGTGCCCCCGACCGAGGATTGCGATATTGTGACCACTCCGCTGCCATTCGAGGGTGATCTGGAACAGGGAAAGGTATGTACCGTTCCGCAAACAACACGTGCCACCACTGTGCTGTGCGACTTAATGGAAACTTATTTTCGACCATTAATGTTGATTATCATTTCCATTTTCATTTTCACCAACTCGGACGGAAAACAACAACAACAACAACAACAACATCGTCCAACATTTGGTGGTGGCATCCAACAGGGTAATGCCATTTCGAATTTGCCACCAGGCGCCATCCAGGGCAAGCTGAGCGGTGGACGAAACAAAAACTAAACTCGTGATAATGACTGCACTGAGGAAATGTTCGTTAGTTAAGGATTTCCTCCTCGACATCAGTCCCTTCGGAGCAGCAGCAACAGCACTAAACTCTAGGATGTAACCCACAACAACGGCGCAAGAAGAAAATTAGACGATCCCAGTGCGGTTGCTGAAAAAGTTCAGAACATTACTTTAATCTGACGATTTATTCCCCGAAAGTGGTCCGTCCCATCCATAACAAACAGCAGAGCGGCGGCATCTTAGACTCGGGCTATAATTTCCGCCCGCAGGAGAGTCTCCGGCAGCAGCAGAATACCGAAAGAGCGCGCGCAAATGAAAACTTCATAAGTTTTGTATATAAATAATATTTTTAATTGAAAATAATGTTTATACTATTATATTATTTCCCACTCGTTTTTATTGTGCTTTATTATTTAAAACCAGAAAATGAGAAAGTGAGTAAGGAGAGTAAGAAGAATAAACCAGTTAAAAAACACTTTTTCGTCATTTGATGGTGCCATCGCGTTTCGCTTATTTCTATGATGAAAATGTGACAGAAATCCACAGCACCAGCTATTTGGTAGGTAGGTACATAGTCATAGTATATATATAATGCTGGATGAAAAAGTATTTTCTCTGCTGTAACACTCGAACAATTCAACATCTTCAGTTATATCACAGTTTTATGACTCTTTCGTGAATGGGCACTGATCTACTCATTAATGCACAACAGTCCCATTTGAAAGCAAAGCCAAGATGTGAATGTTATGCTTTTATGGGCATTGATGGAGATGTTGAATGAAGTTTATCTTCGAAATCGAGCTGCCTGAGTTCAGTGCTACGAATGTGAATGTGGCAAATAAAGATTTTCAATTCATTGATTGCGCAAACCTGGTCGATTTATGCAGTCCTAGTCATAAGTTTCCGCGAAACTTAGAATCGAAAAATACGTATTTTAGGCAATCTTAGCAGCATTCTATGGGCCTTTTCTCTTTATAACACACACAGTTGCCGTGTTGATTGTATATATTCAGCTGCTGACGCATTTCGCGCCAAATCGAATCGAAGCTGGCAGCACCCTCTCAGATTTCAATAAAATTTTCTGGATGTGCAGACTTTGACTAAATAAGCCCTTTTGCATACTCAGTTTTTTCAAAATTTATCTAGACTAACATTTGAGAAGGGCCAAACTTTTTCTGCCGATTAAAAAAAAAACATTATGGAAAAATGACAACTCCAACTAAAGTATGTTGTATGGATGACTTTTAGGAAAGTGACCAAATTATCGAAAAAAAATACGGAAAAAAATTTAATTTGAGATCTACACTGAAAAAAATCGATTTTTAAAATTTAAAATCGATTTAAAAAATTGCCATGTTTGATTTGGATGAAACTTTGCCTCAAGATAGGTAATAATATTTACTACCATCCGTCGATACATCGCGAGATGGGCACTTTTAATGAAAAAAAAGTTTTTCTTAACTAATTTTTTTAACGTACCATTTTTACACAAAACTAAACCAGTGAAGCTCAAAATCATCTCAGAACCCAATGAAGCTCCATTTGTGATTCAATTTTATCTAATCAGCAACTAATCACTTGGATTAATCGAGAATTCCATATGAAAAGGGCTTTATCATTAGAAAATAATATAATTGATTATATTGTCTACTACTGATGCAAAATCCGATACTCCTATAGCAACTTAGAATTCTTAGCTCAAATTATCCATAAAGAATTAGGTATGAATAAAATTTAAATTGAGATCTTCTTTTGAATCAACAACGATTTGGGAAGTCAACGTATCGCCCTTCTGTTATGAGCCTATGTCTACCTATGAGCACTATAAAACTAATGTTCATTTCATACAAGCAGCAGTCAATCTGATAACGAAAGTTGTGAAGACAAGTTGTAGTAAAATTATTATCATGGACCAAAGTAGTAACTTAAGGCTCAAAGGATTGAAATGTTGTGCAAATATAAATAATCCGAGATGCGACCGAAATAAGTTACGGGCCATACCGTCAACGATGGTAGAAAAAATACATTATATGGGATATAACCACAAAATTGATGAAACGATGAGCATTTGTGAGTCATGCCGTAGCGTGATATCTCATAATAGAAGTCCAGTTATGAAAAAACGCCGATCGGTTGGAAATGAAGTAAATATCCAACCGTCAACAAGTGGGCAGCAGCATAGTGATGATCCAGGTCCATCAATGAGTGGCCATCAATCCGTAGATGAGCTAGGTAAGAACAGTCATCCTGATGATTCTATCAACTTTTAACTGCAACCTTCTAATTGCACTTATTAATTATTTTTTCTTCTTCTTTCCTTCAGTTACGGTACCATCGGTTCCATCATTGGAGTCAGTTCCATCAGCAGATGATCTGCAACGCCCATACAATGTTGAGAAGTTTAATGGCTTTGTGGAAACGTTGAATTTATCTCCAATTTCATCGAGGAACATGAGGAGCATGGATTATCGTTCAATAAAATCTCTAGAAATTACACAAGTAGTGCGAAAAAATATATTTGGCCTAGATACAGCAGACATAAGCAAAGTCTTGGTCCGTGAATAAAGTTGTAGCAGAATTCATCGCACCAACGTACATGGTGAGGCAGGTGAAGAACCTTGTTAATCAGCAGGGTATTCTAAGCACACCCAACAGAAGAAGTGGGCATGGGATCAACGATGATAGAAAAAAAAACTAGTTAGGGAATTTTTTGATGACAATGATATTAGTAGCCCTATGCCCGGAGCAAATGATTTTGTTTTCGAGTTTAGAAATGGACGAAAAGAACACGTTCAAAAACGCCTGTTAATGATGTCCCTCAAAGAAGCGTACAAGATTTTTGTTGATAAATATAAAGATAGTAATATTGGTTTCACTGTATTTACACAATTGCGACCAAAACATTGCATTTTGCTTGATTCTACTGGTATACATAATGTATGTATTAGTACAATTCATGAAAATGTAAAATTAATGATCAACAGTTTAGAATTATGTCACAAGATGCAATAGTAGAAAAAAATGCTTTGTAATATTTCTACTAGAACAACTAATTGCTTTTGCCGTGCTTGCGAAAAGTGTGCTTCCAATGAACATATTGAAGAGGAATTTACTTTGCTATTAGAATCAAATGACAAACAAAATGTTGTGTTTCAACAGTGGCTGGCAGTGGCAAATACTGATCGTTGTAATTTGGAAACGATTATCAAGCCTATTGATGAATTTGTTCCGTATCTCATTGATAAAATTAATAAACTTATAACTCATGACTTTATTTACAAACAACAGTCATCTTTTCTAAGAAATAAAAAAGAATCATTAAAAGAAGGTGAAATTCTAGCAATTTGTGATTTTTCTGAAAATTATTCATCCATTATCCAAAACGCTGCTCAAGGATATCACTGGAATAATTCTCAAGCAGTTGTTCATCTCAAAAATGCTAGATTTTTTTTTCGATAACTTGGACAATTTCCTAAATGTCATCCATATAACACATTTTTGTAGGAGTTTTCGTTTTTCCATAATGATTTTTTGAAAAAAAATCGGCAGAAAAAGTTTGGCCCTTCTCAAATGTTAGTCTAGATAAATTTTGGAAAAACTAAGTGGCATATTTAGTCAAGGTCCACACATCCAGAATGTTTCATTGAAATCTGAGAGGGTGCTGCCAGCTCCGAATACGATTTGGCGCAAAATGCGTCTGCTGCCTGTTGATTTATCCATTTTCAATCGTTAAAATTGAACAAAACTTTTTTAAACACTTTTACAACGTTTCAAACTTCTCTTTTTCTTCGGCAACCCTTTCATTTGATCTGCTTGTTAATCTGCTATATTGTGTTTTATTTCAAGAAAAAAACTGTAAAAATGCGTTTGCTCAGCCATAAAAACCTTATCAGATTGGAATATAAGAAATAAGGAATCCTTTGAATACATTCAGCAAAGTGTTTTGGCGAGAAAATACAGTGAAATTACCGTATAAATTTTTGATGCCAAAAACAGTCAATGGGTGCTGGAGCTGACATTTTCTTTTCCTTTATTTAACGTCGGTCTCTGTTCCGCAATCTAGTGCCAATCACTGACGGACATCGATTGCCATCCATTGACGGCAATCGAATGTGCAGGAAGGCAGCTTCCACACCTGCGTAGGATTTCGCACCCATTCATCACACATACACATGGGCCGGGACCAACGGCTTTACTTTCCCTTCCGAAGAAAGACGTGACCAGAGATTTTTATGCCTCAGAAAAATCCCACCGACCTCGGCTGGGATTGAACCCAGACCCATCGGGGTGTTAGAAAGCAGTCACGCTTACCACTACACCACCGGCGCCGGCTGGAGCTGACATTTACCCTACATTAAAAATTCTTGAATGTTGTAAAATTCTGAATTTTACGCATGGGGTAAAATCTTCCTTCGTTTAATTTTGAGTTACACTGAAAACGAAACTAACTCAGTGAGTGAGTAACTTTTACTCATGCGTATGTAGATATTTCTAAAAGCGTATACTCAAAAAATATTCAAATATAAACAGTATTAAAGCTATGCTAACTCGCAACACTCCTGACCGACACATAGGTCGGTATAAAGGGAGAGAATATTAACTAAGTATAAAATTGGATTCAGGCGCACAGGTAAACACTTTTACCGAAAAATCGTTTAATATTCTCATGAATGATGATCGGTACAACGGTGAGATATTTAACGTTAAAGAAGGATCAGATCGCCCTTTGAAGGCTTATGCGAAATCTGGCGAAATTCACGTGTCTGCTACATTCGAGGCTACCTTGTTCATTACGGACGATAGACCCACCTTAATTGAGAAATTCTACGTGGTCAATGAAGCTAGAGCATTATTGAGTAGATCAACTGCTACTAGATATAGTGTGCTCTTGTTAGGATTGAAGGTTCCACTGTTGGTTGGACACCACGACAGATTGACGGAAGGTGGTTATGGAGTAGCATCAATAATCACGACTGAGCCTTTCCCGAAGTTCAACGTCCCTCCTGTGAAATTACATTACGATAAATCAGAGCCACCCTGCAGGAACGTATTCATAAATATCCCGCAAGCAGTAAAGCCGTTAGTAGAAGAACGATTGCGACAATTGATCTCAGCTGACATTATCGAGCGGGTTACAGAAGACATGGACGCATCATTTTGTTCGTCGTTAGTGATCGTTCCGAAGGGGAAAGAGGACATACGTCTCGTTATCGACCTAAGAGGTCCAAACCGGTATATTCACCGGACTCCTTTTGCCATGCCGACTCTCGAATCGATCTTGGCTGAGCTTGATGGTTCCACCTGGTTTTCTACCATCGATTTGACGAACGCTTTTTTTCATATCGAGCTAGATAGAGATTCTCGTCATTTGACGAACTTCTTTACTGAGTTTGGGAT